GTTCAAACTTTATAAATATTTATACCTAATAATCTACCCTGTTCAGTATAGCTTGCTGAAGATGAAATATGTATATTCTGAAATGTTTGTTGCTGTACATACACTTGTCAAATGTTCATTGTTGCAGCCATCATTTTGTTGTTCTTCATTAATAATAGCTTAGTGCATTTAAAAATGGTGGTAATAATTTCTGAAAGTTGTTTTTGATTTAAGATTGTTTAACTGAATCTATATATGTAAAAGCCACTCTCTGTTGGTAACGTTCAAATTGGCTCAGTGGTTAGGCTCAAGTGGAAGTATCACATTCAAATCCCAGTCAAGTAGGGATTTTTTATACCTTTTCTTAAATTATTAACTCATCATGTTTAGAGCAAGTTATTACAATACTAGGAAAACCAGAATTACATGATAGTTTACAATATGGATTTGAATTATTTGTTAACATTCGATTAGAAAGACATGGTGTTACAGTGGTTATTGTGCTTGATTATCACGTGGAAACCTTGCATTCAAATCCAAGTTGAGTTGGAATTTTATGTTTTTTTTTTTTTAAATACATATTATGATAGTTACAGCAAGGTCTTTGAATATTCGGAAAAATACGATTACCATTATAGATTAAATTAGGGATCATACCATATAAAAACACAAGTGTTTGTCTGGGTTAAACACAACTTAAATATATTTTCAATTCAATAGATGGCGCTATAATCAGACTAGTGAAAGCAACTTATGAAGGAGCGACAACAATTGTGAAGACAGTATATGAGGAAACGGACAAGTTTAAAGCTAACATTGGGCTACATCAAGGGTCAGCCATTAGCTCCTTGCTGTTTGTAATCAATGTCTTGAGTAAGGACTACCACAAGGAACCCCCTGTGGGAGCTATTATTTGCCAATGAATTTGTCCTGACAGCTGAAAGTGAGAAGGATTTACAAACACAAGTTATATGTGGCAGAAAAATTTGGAAAGATGAGGCTTGAAAGTGAATGCCAGAAAAACAGAAGTCTTGGTGAGTGGAAGGGGTAGAAAGAAAAGGCCAAGATCATAGATGTAAATGGGAAGGCACTGGAACAGTTAGAAGGCTTTAGATACACTTGGGAAGTACAATCTAAAGTGAAAGAGGGTAGGAAATCTGTGAGAGATATAATCCAGGCAGGTTATAAAAAAATGAAAGGAAATAGCTACAGTTATCTGTTACAAAAAGTCACCAAAGGCACTAAAAGCCAAAGTGTATGAGACCATAATTAGACCAGTGCTCCTCTACGGAGCCAAGACTTGGACTCTGAAGAAAGATGAAGAAGGCTTGATGATAAGAACAGAAATGATAATGCTAAGATGGCTGTTGGGAGTGTCACTGAAAAAGAAGAGAATGAATAAGGAAATGGTAGGAGTCTGTAGAATTGAGGAAAAGGCAAGAGAAACAAAGCTGAGATGGTTTGGTCACATGAAGAGAAGAACAACAACAACAACAAGTACAGTATCTGAGCTGTCAGTAGCTGGCAAGTGAAGACAAGGAAGGCCAGTAAAGTATTGGAAGGATGAGATAAACAAGACATGAACTAGAAAGGAATAACAGAAGACCTAGTAACGAACAGAGATGTTTGGATGAGGATAACTTGTGTGAAGGATGATGATCCTTGCTAAAGGGAAAAGCTGAAGAAGAAAATGGTGCTAAAATACATTATTATTGATCTTTTTTTGACTTAGGTAAGAGATTTAAATAAATTTTATCAGAATTTTTTGTGAAGAGTTACACCTTCGTGCATTTGCCTTTCAGCTTCAAGTTCTTTGGCTTTGCCATCACAATTAATAAATTGCAGGGTCAGACATTTGACCACGTAGTAATATTTCTTCAAGAACCAGTTTTTCACATGGTTCAATCTATAAGGCTTTATAAAGAAGCAAATTTGAACGTAACATAAAATATACAAAAGTCAAATTCTAATCAAGCAGTACTTACAGGAGATGACCAAATATACATAAGAAATGTTGTGTTCTTTACATGTGTATTGCTAGTATAATTAATTTTTAGAAAAAATGTTCAGAAAACATTTATTTAGATTTTATTTTCAGAAGAATAATTAAACAGCATTTACCATCATATGATCGACATTCAGCTTGTATAGTAAGAATTCATGCAACATAAAGCTAGGGCCAACAAGAAAGGCTGATTGATGTATTCCCAATGAAAAAGTGAAAGTAGTACCATTTTCAAATATAGAACTTCTGCTTAAATTTTGGTCACCTTTTTTATTATTATGTGTCACACACATTTTTAAGTATGAAGAAATGTAAAAATGTTTACTTTGGAATTTGTCAAGTTTGTAATTAGACAATTCTCTGTTCTCTTCAAAGAGAATGTCTCACACACACACAAATGTAATTTTAAAATTCCAGATATGTATTGAAGATAACTGAACATAAGAAGTGCATGATAAACTACCAAGAGTAAAACTTACCATTTTCATCTGTAGATTGACTCAGGTTGTCTTCACTGGCCTCTGTCAGTGTATAAAACAAAAACATAACATGAGAAAAAGATGCAAGTAAAATCACTGTGAATTTAATCATACAAAAATAATAGTAATAATAAAATGATCATACTATCAAGAAACTGTGGTTTAATGAAAATTAGCTTAAATTTATAAATGTACCACCATCTGAAGACTGTTTGTTCTTCTTTGTTTGCACAGCTTCAGCTTGTTTTCGAAGTATTTCCAATCTTTGTTCCAAATCCTCTAGCTATAGTGAAAACAAAATAAATATTTAAGTGAAAAATATTTCTGAAATAGTTAAAGTAGTAAAATTTTTATTATTCGTACACATAAAATCATTTATAAAAAAAAAATACTTTGATCACATCTTCATAAACACTACATTTTATGCAAATACCCCAAAATGCTTTTGCTTTTAGAGAGGACAAATAGAGAAAAACAAAACAAAATGTGTTACCAATCTTACAATATTTATTTAACAGTTTGGTTGTTGCTTACAAATAATTGTGTTAACTACAATGACTTTTGACAGTGCTGTCTGTTTAAGTTTAAAAATTAAAACAATAATAAATGAATAAAAACCGTACATTAATTTTATATTACTTATTAATATGTATAATTGGTCTTTTACTAACAACAGAAATACTATACAACATAGACAGTACTAAGTATTAAAGACTTTTAGTTTTAACCTTGGTTTGGGCTTGTTGATAAGCTGTTCTTCTCTGTTTTCTTACTGTCTTTTTTGCACTGAAATCATTAACAAGCTGTAATGCTGCATTGGTGATTTTGCTCTGGATTTCATATTGTAGCTCGAGCTTTCCTAAAGCTTCCTCCTGTTCAGAAGATAGATAATGAAACACAGAAAATGTATACTTTCACATGTTGGAATAAGCTTGATTAAATGTGTGTGCACATTTCAGAGTTGGACTTTTTTTAGACGTTTACAAAAATTATTTTGGTTTTACTTCCTGAATCTTTATACAATCCTACTCTATGTCAGTATGGATTATAAATGCATATTTATTAAAACATAAAGTACAAATGAAGAAATATACTCTTGGTTTAATACCACTTCTAATTACTGTGTAAGTTTATTTTACTATAGTTTTACATTTCCACATTTGGTGAAGGTTGTTTGGATGTCTTATAACACAGCATTAACACATTTCTGTCTAATGAAATATTTATTCAACCTAAATGCCTCAAAATGTGATAAAGATATTATTAGGGGGTGGACTATCCGAGAGTTATTATTTGAATACATTTGAAATCTGCTGATATTATTTATAACTTTAAAGTTAGTGAAAATTTAAAGATTTCCTTTGCCTTGGCCATAACAATAAAATATTCACCTTATGTCCTTCCTTGTTTTCTTTGGAGATGAAAAGTAAGTTACGAGGCAGTTATAATTTTTCCATCATTCATTGTCTGAATCTGACTTTGTTTAATTATCATGACTGCATGTTAATACTAAAGAATTGTACTGTCCAATTTGTTTAATTACCATGACTGCATGTTAATACTAAAGAATTGTACTGTCCAATTTGTTTAATTACCATGATTGCATGTTAATATTAAAGAATTGTACTGTTCAAGCAGCTGTCTTTGTCATGCCTAAAACTTTGGCAGGTTTTCCATGGTATCCTTGTACATGGTGGACAGCTGACTGCTAAAAGGCACTCGGGGTTCAGAAACAAGCCTGGGATATCTTATGCAGATATTCCATTTTAACCAACTTCATAGCATTTCAGAAGGCTCATGCACATGCCTGGCAGATGAAATATCAAAGCCAATTCCAAAGTCATCTGGGACAAGATTTAAAAAGTGATTGAGAAGCATACTTTGGATCTTCTCTCAATCTTACAACTCAATGCTAAAGGAGTTGCTGATTTATAAAGTGTTGCTAAGACCCTTGCAGAGTGCTTCTCCAATCACTCAAGTGCCTCCACATGTTCCCCTGCTTTGTTTAGCATCAGGACACGGGTTAAAAAAAAACCCATATTCTTTTTGACCCAGTTGTATTTATAACTATAATTGACCATTCATTCTGGTGGAACTTAAATTTGCTCTACATCAGCCTGGTAATGCACCACTTGATTGTATAGCATCTATTATGAGATGATACCCCTTTTCTTTCCCACCTCTCTCAATCTTCTTCTGGTTCTTTTTAACTGGATTTGAGAGGAGAAGAAGTTCCCAGCTTTATGGAGTTTTGATAATGTCATCCCTTTTTTCTAAGTTCAGAAAGGATCCCAAGACTCTTTCTAATTACATATCTATTGCTTTGACTAACTGTCTATGTAAAGTTCTGGAAAAGATGGTTAATGGTCATCTTTTTTGGTTCCTTGAATCCAACATCCTCTTCTCCATTACCCTGTGCAGTTTCTGCAAGCAGTGATCCACTGTGGACCACCTGATTCGACTAGAAACATCAAGAAAAGAAGTTTTCTCAAGAGGGAGCGTCTTGTTGCTATCTTTTTTTTACTTTAAATAGACTTATGATACCATATGGAGCTTTGGATTTTTACAAGATTTCAATTCATATGAGTATAGGTGGCTATTTACTACCCATACTTTTTTTAGCAGAAGTAATTTTGAGTCTGTGAAGGATGAACACTAGTCCAATATTTCCTACAAGAGCTTAGAGTACCTCAGGGCTGTGCCTTGAGCATTGCACTTTTTAACATTAAGATCAATACCATCACATAACAGCTTCCTTCTATAATGGCAAAATCCTTCTATGTTGATGACTTTCAAAATTCCTGTTGGTCATCAAAAATGAGGGACATTAAGTGGCAGATCCAAACTGCCCTCACTAAGTTATGTGCCAAGAAACTCCAAATCAAACTAAACTCTCGACTCAAAATCATATTTTCAATTTTTACTCAAGATGCCAGATTGCATTTTCTGTTAAAACAATTATTCTAGGTACCAAACACACAAGATTCACTGCATTTGAGAAACTAATTTAAACCACATAAACAAACTTAAAAAGACAAGAAAAACAGACTTACCTCTTTAGATTTAGCTTTAGTAATCAGCTTATCAACGATAGTTAATGTTTGTCCTGCGCTTTGCTTCACTGTGGGTGGAAGTTCTCCAGGAGCAAGTGGTATTTCGGGTGGTAGCTCTCCTGTTAGTTCCTGAATATCAATATCATAATATCTAGATTTTCCTTCCAATTAAAAATAAAAGAAAAACTTCTGCTCTAAATGCAGGCAGTAAATGTTTGAACAGGTTAGGTTTCAGATCTACTGTGTTAGTTTTGCTTAAAGGTATTATGATCAGTATGAGGTACAAGTTATAAATTACTCTTGTTTATCTTTATTCCACTTTATCTCATCTTTCTCAAAATTGTAAAAGTCATAACTTATTTTAGTCACATTAAAGATGAAATGTCAGGTTTCATATTACACTTATTGTGGGAAAATGGTTCTTACAACTGTATTTATAGTGTACCCCATGAGCTATTAAAGTCAGAATTATATGAGAAAGTTAATAGATATTGTCAGTTGCCAGAGACTGTATCGTTAAAATATTCAAATTCTTCAAATAAGTATGACCGCAAGATCTGATACAAAAAATCATCTCAGTCTGGGATCACTCTTTGAGTTTACTATCTATGAAAATCTAACAAATTTACTTATGTTGATTCACATTCATCTATAAAATAAAGGTCCAAGTATATCTCAGTGGCAGTTCATTGTGTATTTTTGTAAAGCTTGTGTTACTGTAACTTTTGGTTTTCTTGTGATCATTCTTAATAATATTTCAGCTTCAAAAAAAAGATGAGTGGATACTAAGTCTTTGATGGAGCATTCATGTGCATACATTAGTACTAGGGTCTCCTTGGGCTCTTGTTTGTCAGATTAAACTTAACTAATTATTACAATTAATTTCAATACATTAAAATTTGGTTCTATTTCTTCAGTATGCATCCATGTTACAAGTTTAAAAGGAAGAAAAACTCTCACTCCTTCTTTTATGCAGAGTATTCTGAGATCCTCTTTCTTTTTCTTCAAGGCCTCTTCCAGGGCTTCTTTCCTAGCCTTCAATACAGCCAACATGTCTTGTTTAAACAATTGAATCTCTTCACTCTGTTCACCTGCAAGAAACCAAGAACAATCTGAAAATAATCAATATGTTTACAAAAATGTATGAAATGTAGAAATGAGGACAATTTGAAATACAATGTACATCCTAATTACACTAAAACTTCAAAAGCAATTAATATGCACACTTTAATAAAATAGTCTAATTTGTTGATATTACCAAATACAACTTCATTTCCATACAAGAAAATAAAGAATTTCTCATAATCAGAAAAACATGACTAAGTGATATATTCTTCACTAATCAACAAAACTTTTTTTTTCTTCTAAATATAAAGATTTCTATTTTATTAGTGACTTAAAACTCCTTCATTAATGTAAGCTCATGGGATTATTGACTTAGAACTCCTTCATTAATGTAATCTCATGGGATTATTGACTTAGAACTCCTTTATTAATATAAGCTCATGGGATTATTGACTTAGAACTCCTTCATTAATGTAAGCTCATGGGATTATTGACGTAGAACTCCTTCATTAATGTAAGCTCATGGGATTATTGACTTAGAACTCCTTCATTAATGTAATCTCATGGGATTATCTGATTAACAGAGAAGTACAGCATAATACTGACTATTTATTACTACAGCACTGTTGTTGTTAGATGTGAAACACAAAATTGGAACTCAAACATCAAGTTAGATTTTTCACAACATTTCACAAAAAACTTCCAATGGAATCTTCAATTGATACAAAATATAGGTTTTGTTGCAAAGTATTTTTTTTTATATTACTCTAAACAGTTACAACTTATGTAGTTGTGTAATAAACAGATCATAATAACTCAGTAGTAAATGCATTTACTTTGGAAAAAAAAATTAAAATATGTATTTATTTCATCGTCATCCTGGTTACTAAGTTATCATCATCAGTTACTCCTGTCATTTATGAAGTTTGTTTGAAATAAAAACAGAAAGATCAATAATTATTTTAACAGAGGTTAAACTCACCTTCTGTTTTAAGACTGGAAAGGCTGTGTAAACTAGCACTATGACTCAAGTTGGATGATGAACTAGCTGAAGATAAGGAATGTATACTACGTGACAGGTCATTTGCTATATCACCGAGGCTACGAACAATGCTTACTCGACTCTAATAAAAAGAGAAGTAGTAAAAAAGAGAAATGTTTTATGTGAAAATTTTTATTGCTAATTATTTAACTATTTAAAATTAAAATGCAATGTGACCTCTCTACAACACCATATAAGGGGTTGTATTTGGGGAATAATTTCATATCCCCATAACAATCACTTAGTTTATTTAACATTTTCCTCATTTTTATGCCTTCCTTAAACATATATTCCTCCAGTTTTTATATAAAGTTTCTTCTACCTTTATTTATTATTGCTTCATATACGACTCACCTTTTTAAACACAAAATTAAAACTACCATTCCAAATATTCCATGATTCTTCTCATCACAAATTCTAAACTATAGAATACAGAAGTGTTTATGAAATGGTTGATTGTAATCATCAAGGGAGTCACAGATATAAAAGATATAAATGTTTTTTTCATTTTTCCAATAAAGAGAGACCCATGTAAATTTCATATGAAATAAAAATGTTATTACAGTGGTATGACAACCTTCACACAAATGACTACAATATTACACAGTGCAGTTAATGCCTCAGTTGATCTAGTTGTGTTACTTGCTTCATCCCACTTGTGTGAATGATGGTTTTGAACAAGGTTAACTATTAAATACAAATACCAAAACTGCTGTTAAACCCTTGATAACTCTGTACAATTTTTTTGAGATTTTGACTAGAATTTGGGGGGCCCCTTGGTTACTACCACTAAAGGGGCAAATGTCCCTTTTGCTCTGGAACTTGAGGGTCCCTTGATGAATGTTAAGGGAGCAAATGTCTCCTTTGCTCTCTGCTTGTGTCATTTTTGCAAATAACATTTGTATGTGTCAAAATCTAGCTGTCACGCAAGTAACAAGACCACTGGTGAGAAATAGGTTGATAATGTTATTCTTAAAACACACACACACACACACACACACACACACAAGATCACCATTATTCAATGAATCAAACCGCAGTTTTATCTTAAAGGGGAGAATTAATTTTTAGATAAATTTTGACTCCAAAACAGAACCATTGCTTTCATAATTATATGTCATTAAACAGTGCAGTTTAACAGACACATACTCAAAGTTAGTTCATCATGTTCTTTGTCTAAACAAAACACATACAACATAAGGTTTAAATGGATATGTTTAACCAAGCTTACATTGATGTGTTTGTTGTCCAAATAAATTACATACAATAGTACATTAACCCTTTCACTGTCTCATTTATAGATTAACAACCATTCCAATGTCAGGTTTATTTTTATGCATATAATACAAAACAAAAATTCAATTAATATTTCATTACTTATCTGAATGTTTGGGAAGTTTGAATTCCCTTTCTTCATGGCGGTAAAGAATTAATTACAAAATCTCATGACAGTGCTGATCTATATGGGGGTAGGTGGGGAGGTACACATGCCCATGGCAATGAAAAAGCTAGAAAAAAACATATTTAGCCAAACTTACTTTGCAGTGTTTCTTGTCCAGATAAAACTGGTGTTGAGCTACAGCCATTGACCAAATGCATTTAGTAAGAGCTTGGTTTATTGCAAACCAAACATAAACTGTAACATTCCCAGGACCAAAGGTACGTCTACTTACAGAAACTCTAAAAAAAGAGAGAGAGATATAGAGAGAAAAAAATTAAACTTTTTGTGGACAAGTTAATAAATTGATTAAACTAAAAAAAAAAATTATTTCACATTTATAGTAAAAGCAATCATGTAAGTCATGATAATAAACATAATAAAAACGTCATTTAAAGATACTTATATTAAAAACAGGCCAACAGCAAGATTGAAAATCATTTTCAGGTACATAATTCTTTCTTAGTTCTTTAAAATTTAACATCAAACAGATAATATTCACTTGTGCTTCTACATGTTTTCTAAGTCTGATTCTATACCTCTAAGATCTTGTTCATAAAATAAAAGATGCAGCCTCACGGAGGCAGATGCTTCAAATCACATTGTCTCATCACAAGGAACAGATACACTTTTAGAAATATTTCATACTAGCCTTCCCTGTTAATAAATATATCTTTTCTCTGTGTAGAATCTTTGATACAGGTCTGCTTAACAGAATATCGTTTGATAAAAAAAACGATAACTCACAAATGATATTTCCTTTTGAGTCTCGTATTCTAATTAACTAAACATTTGATCTTAAGCTATTCTAATTAACTAAACATTTGATCTTAAGCTATTCTAATTAACTAAACATTTGATCTTAAGCTATTCTAATTAACTAAACATTTGATCATTTGCCATTCTAATTAACTAAACATGATATCATCTTAACAATTGGATGTGAAACATGTTATCAAATACTAAGAACACTAATTTAATCTTTGCTTTCTAAGCATCCAATTAAACAATTATATTATAGGCAGAAATCAGAGAATAAAAGCTTTTTCTCTGTTAGAAAGCATTTCCATCCTATAATAATTAAATCTGTTTTTAGGGTTTTAAAATTAACAGAAAAATAATAAATTGGGATAAATGGTGGGAATTGTGTGAGATTAATAAACTTACTGTGTTGTGGGATCAGTTATTGCATCTGAGAGTTCATCCAAGTCTTCCAAAGGTTCTTCAATGGCATCCTCATACAGGTTAAAACTGCTTAGAGTATGCACCACTCTAGATACAGACAGAAAACGCGAATCAGCCTTAAGCTTACTTTCGACTAAATGCCACATTTAAAGAGACTGGCAGACAGCCAAACTACAACTGGACATAAGGTACACCAAGAAGTTATATCATACAAGGGATTTTCATTACCATTCTACTTTTCATTTGCCCAATTCCAAGTTTTAATTTTTTCCTGCTTCCATGATTATTATAAAAACTCGTATGTACATCATGTACACATTCATAGAAAACATAAACAACTGTTCATACGTGCATAGCTGTGTTCCCACCCTCAGAACTAATGTCATGAATTACCTTTTTTTTTAATGATAAATTCTACTAACAAATTTAAACTAGATTTTGTTAAAAGGACAAAATGAACTTAGAAAATGTTCATTTTTTATTCAGAAAATGAAGAAATCAAACATCATATAAAACAGAAAAAAACTTATTTATCCAAAAGCCTTCTGGTGTTGATGCCTTTTCTGTCTATAAAGTGGAAACATGCTCTAAGCAGTTCTTTCACCTGTTTTACTGACAATTACATTCTACATAATTTAAGGTGTGATATCAAAAATACCTTAACATGAAAAATCCATGTAGTTTCTAATTATTAAGTTAAGCCTAGACAAGTATAAATTAGGCAATTCCCTCCAATCACAAGACCTCTCATAGATAAAATACTTTTTACAGACAGGTTTAACAGAATTGTTTTTTATTAATTTCAAAATTGAAATGAGGGACATTATATTTATTTAACCCATAGAAAGTACACTATTTTTAAACATCAGTTTGTTTCATAAATAATGCAATTATAAGGCTTTCCACATAACGACAATCTTAATGTTCAAACTGATCTTAAGTAATTACCACTTCAAAAAAATAATAACCTGAACATTTTTAACTAACAGTAAACACAATGACTTCATATTTCAAACCTTTCCTTACTATATTTTTTCTTGCAAATCATTTTACTACACAACCCACCTTCTTGGACTGTGAACTTCAATAGAAAATTTCCTGTCCCTGAAGTACAAATTATCTAAATGTTTCCATGGAAAAATCTGAAAGAAAAATAACTTATTTTTTTTACTACTATTCTTTAAAAAACTTAATGTTAGCTTTATTTTGTTATACATATGTATGGTTTTAAGTTATTATTATTATGGTATTAATAGTTGATACAGCTGTGAAACTGTTCATTTACAGTACTGCCTCATTATAATGTCATTGGTTAAAACACTTTCTCAGACATAATGCTGTGGTGCTTTCGCTCCCAACAATTTAGTATCATCTGCTATTTAGCTTCAGAGGCTAAAGTCATTACACTCTGTCAGAAAAAAAAGTGGGAAGTCTCGAGTGTAAAACCCAGCCAGAGATGTGAATATAAAGTACATATGTGAACTTGATATTGGGATGGTAAGAAAGGAATTTGAAAATGTCACTTGATTGTCAAAATAGCAAGAAAATGTCACCAATATAGCAGGTTTAAAGTCACATGAGCAGTATTCCAACTATTTGCATTCATGGTAGCATAGAAAACTATTGGCTATCGTTGAACCCAGCAGGGATTCCATCTATCTGATCATAAGCGAAGTCTTTAAAGAGGAAATGGTTTAACTTTGTGGAGAGAGCAAGAAGTTCCAAGAATTGTTTATGGGTGAAACCAACATACTGCTCAGTGTCAGAAGGAAATGGAGATGTCATGTTGTTATAAACAACAGGTTTAGAATAGCATTAAGCCTGCTCACTTTTGGCATGATTTTAATTATCCAGTGAAAATGCCGATTGTTTTAGCCAATCATATTCTTTCTCAGGGTTTGGATGAAAGATGAAGAAATGCTATACTCTTTGTTGTGTGAATTGGATGAAGCCAACAATGCACTGTATGCATGGTTCATGCAGCAGAGAGTGGATGGCGTACCTTTGTTGGGCACAATTCTTCAAGCACAAACAAAGAAACTTTCAAATCAACTGAATGGGGACATAGATTTTGAGGCAAGCAATGGGTGGCTGTACAGATTCAATGACTGTCATGGTATTAGTCAAGTGTGTATATTTTATCTTATGTTATTGTATCTTTTTTTTATACCTATTTTCCTATGTAAAAAACACTTATTTCATTTAATCAACTGCTTTAGTATTCTGCTGAATCTGTACCTGTTCAGCACGAGTGCCTTCTTGACTAGATGGTTATAATGCTTCCCTCACCTATATGGTTCTCGGGTACACATGGCTCCTGATGGCAGCATTATAATGAGGTTGTACTGTATCACTTTATGTTTTTTTTTAGTTTTTGGTTAAAGGTCTTTTTATCAAGCAATGATACGCATGTCCTGTTCCAGAAAAGAAAAAAAAAAAAGAAAGCAGTTTAAATTGGAACAGAAGTAGTAGTTTCCAATAAACTGCTTAACACTTTGAAAATGAGGGGTTACTGAATGTGGTAAGATTACAGTAGCTGAACAACACCAAATAAGCAAAATCAAACAATAATTTTCTTTGTTGAATTTTGTGCAAAGCTACTTGAGGGCTATCTGCACTAGCTGTCCCTAAGTTTGAAGTGATAGGCTAGAGAGAAGGCAGCTGATCAAAACCACCTACTCTTTGCCTAGGAACAGTCAGATTGACTTCCACATTATAATGACTTAATGGCTGAAAGGGTAAGCATGTCTGGTGTTGGGTTTCAGTCCCGAGACCAACAGATTGCAAGTTGGGCATCCAAACTACCAGACCCAAACAGTAAAAGTAATTTTTTTAATTATTACATTAAACCTGAACCTAAATTGATCAATATAAAGATCACATATTATTCATATCAATATCAAATGATTTAAGTATAAGTTTCGAAAGATATATGTATGTCAGAAAGAGAATGAAGTCAAACCACTATCAATGTTCCATTTTGGGAAAAACACATCTATTATTCCTGTCCTGATTACTTGCTTTCAATATTTTAGGTACTAATTTTAGTTCAAATGTTGTTCTTTTCATTTTCATAAACTACTTTCATAAAGTTATTCAGCCTTTTTATCACATGGCTTTCTGAATTGTTGGAAAATATGAAGAGGATGGTAAGCTGATAATATTTCATTATTTAAATACCATATTTAGGAGTTCTTTCTCTTTACTCTTTCTGTAAAAATAAATTTTCATTTCATTTTTTCCTTGTGTTTATGTGAGCACCACAAATTTTGATGTTATCATTTTGAAATTAATTTTTTTTTAAAAGAAAAATGTTATTATATCCAAGTTTGGGCAATTATTTTTTGGTCTAATTATAACCAGTAAACTATAATAAAACTGATTTCAAAGCAGCTCTATTTTAGATTGGTTATTGATAGCTTCAAACTACTTTGTTAGTAACCGATTACCAAATGTTACACTCTCACCTTTCTGGGGTTCTTTCTGTCTATGAAGTCATATTGACTAATTCCTTTATAATTAAGCCCAAGCCACCAAGGTATCCCTGCTTTGTCCTAAAATTCCAAGAGAACAAGCTCCTTTTTACTAAATTAGGACTTACATAATTGCACAACAAATACACTTATGTATTTAAAGCAATAAAAATACACATTCATCAAAATGTTCTCTGTCAAGATATAGTCATACAAAAAATGATGTACAGAATCTTGCTAGCAAACCATGTGATGAAATAACTAGTTTTGCCCCAATTTACCAAGAACATGCTTATTTGTATTGAATTTTTTGTTTTAAAAATTAATTATTATTGCTTTGTTGACATAAAATTTTATGAAGTGAAAATCTAAAAAACAAACAAATCAATCTAAAAAAACTTGTTAATTCTACTTAGAATTTTACTTTTTAAAAGTAAAATACAAAATAAATCAACTCATTGTTTAAATGTCACTCTGACTAAGATCATTATAGTTAAGCTGATTTATACCTTTTTTAATAAATACTATTAAAAAATACAACACTTAAAGCCTTGAAAATACATACAAAAACTATAATACACTGTTAAAATATACAAAATTTAAAATATTGGAAACACATACAACAACTGTAATTCAAACCTAAAATAATTCTTAACATATTCTGTTGGAAATTTTTTAATCATCTTCAATAAACAAAACACATTCAAAGAAGCAAAAACAGTACTGACTATGACCTTTTGGGCTGATTAAATGTCTGTCCACTTTGCAAATTTACTAAATATTAGAAGCTAATTATAAAACACTAGGTAAAAACTAAAATATGAACACAATGATGGTGAGATTAAATTTCTTGTCATCTAAACACTTGTGTTTTCATTTGGAAAACAGCACCAGAGAATGCCATTAACAACAACAAATGACTATTTTTGACAAACTTCAGCACTTTTACACTATCAATTTAAAGGTTTTATAAGAAAAATATACATACAAAAAAAACCATCACCCTATAATAATACACCTAACAGGAGAAGTATTAATATTACTTACCTTTACTTCATAATAATGAATTCCATATGTAGGCAAGCTTTCTACTATGCTCATATAACTGTGGAAAAGAAAGCACAGTAATGCATAAGATTTGCCACAGATATCTATACAATTCTCTACATAATATTCTTTGAACAAATACAGTTTAGAGAGATAGAAAATCCATTGAAGAGTTGTTGCACTGAAATCCAATATTTTGTATTGATGCAGATGTATACCAGTAATTGGCAGCACTTAAAATATAATAAATGCATACAAGTAATTTAACTTTTAAACTTGCAAAGCACCTTATGTACATGCAGATTAAAAAAGCAGGTCAGAAACCTCTCTAGGTTTCAAGTACAGTCACTCCTAATTTTGAAATGTCTAGATAGAGGGCTGCCAGGCAACAGTACCAGCTGCCATAAGGGCTTTGTCAGCTGAGCCATGTTTATAATATGCCTGCAGCTGAAAGTCTGGAGCATGTGGTATCACATCTCAGACTCTAAACCCTTCGATCTGTGGCCCAGCACCCTAGGCCATATCCAACCTAAACACAGCTAAAAATAACAATAAAAATATGTTTGCAATGTTACAAAGATGAATGCTTATACAACTGATTGATATTTAAGATAAATTTTTTCAGAATCTTAGCTAAGTAAGTCAATAAAAAATACTTTATTGAACAAACAAAAATTCATAATAATACAAATATATTTATAGACTTGCAGTCTTGAAATATATGCAAGATTCCTCAAGAGTTTCTGTTATAAGTAAAAATACTTAATAATCCAAGATGTTACATTTACACAAAAATATACATATAAAATAAAGTACTGAAACTAAAAAAATGGATGTTTACTAATCCAAGTTGTTAAACTGGTAAAAACTGATAATTCACAAATCATGATAATGAAATGTATTTCTAAACTCAAGATAACCAAGTTAGAAATGCCATGGCATAAAATCCTTTACTACTTAAATATATATTTGCATAGCAATACAGGCAGGAAACCTTTCATACAGTGTTGTGCATTTTGTGTTTCTAAAGAATATCCTGCCTAAAATATTGTGCCAGTAATTTTGTTTTGAAATGATTAAAATATTATATCATTATTATTATCAACTACAGTGTGTTCTTTTAACAAATATTGGTCTAAAGTTTATTCTTTTTGTACACTTAGTCAACTTAATTTTAATACAAATTGTGGCTAAGTATATGGTAGTTATTTTTGTTATTGATTTCAAAAAAAATATTTTTTGTCAGAAGATAAAGTACTGCAAATGATGTGTATGACCACAAACAAATAACGTTTTATCTGAATACCAAATGACCACATTCAAATAAACAATTATGCTATTGCTAACATGTGTACAGGAAAAATAAGGTTTCAAACAAATGTGAAAAAAGTAAAGTACATTAGGTTTTAATGTTTTCTTTATAGGCATAGGTTTGTTTAACTAGCTGCTCTTCAGCTAGAAGTATAACTTAAAAGCAAGGTGTAACTTTGTTTAACTAGTTGCTCTTAAGCTGGAAGTATCACTTGAAAGCAACGTGTGACTTTGTTTAACTAGATGCTCTTAAGCTGGAAGTATCACTTGAAAGCAAGGTGTGACTTTGTTTAACTAGTTGCTCTTAAGCTGGAAATATCACTTGAAAGCAAGGTGTGACTTTGTTTAACTAGATGCTCTTAAGCTGGAAGTATCACTTGAAAGCAAGGTGTGACTTTGTTT